AATCAGTTAATTGGTTAATTAATTAATTATTAAATGTCTCTGTAACAGTCTGTGGTGATTTCTGAATTCTTTGTAACGGTCTGTGGTGGTTCCTGAATTCTCTGTAACGGTCTGTGATGATTTCAAGAGACTTCATAGATCATAATACAGACCGTGACACAGAAGCTCCACAGACCATCAGTGGCCGTGATAGACGAATTCCAGAAAAGAAGTTTCATCGTGTTTCACATTTTAATCCTACAGGGATTGCGCTAACAGCTTTTGTTTCAAACTCTTGGCGATTTCCCAAATAGAACGTATTCATATTCCCAGCAGCTCTTCGAAGAATGAGATTTTTTTTTCCAAAGAATATTGAATCGATAGAATCAAGCGATCTCCATAGAGAGCACGCTGATGAAGATTCGAAGGTATTGATACTGGTAAAGAATCTGTAAATTGATCACTGATCTTCTGTTGAATTTCCAACGGCAATGCAATATTAATATGATGCTTTGAAAACAGACTATTTAATTGATATTTGACAGGATGGAACATAAATCGGCCCTCGATTTAACAATTGTAGTTGCTTTTCAGAGAATTGATGTATAGCATCAATAATTAGAAAAGATGAAAATCTACTATTGTTCGATTTTTGACCATTTTCATTTGTATTTATTGAATCTAAATTGTCGTAGGAATTTCGAATATAATTGTTAATTCTATAATTGTATATCTCTCTCCATCGATCAGTAATATTTTTTAAACGATTTTCGATCAAATTCGTTAATGTTGTAGTCATTCCTTGATTTTTAACAAGATCACGATAGGTTTTCCACATAGTAGCTAATTCATGATCGAATCTTTTTAGAGAGTGATAGAATTTTGTTTCTGCTTCTGCTATTTGAACAGTCATTAAATCTAGTTTCCTTCTTTGAATCGCTTTTTCATGTTTACTAAATCGGCGTTGGCCATCATGATTTAATGTTGGCATCAATGTTCCAACAGAACCGAATGAATCAGGCGGCTTATTGTAAAAGACTCGATACTTCAGTTCCAATAAAGTTTGTTTTGATTTTTCTACTTCAGCTTTCGCAGTGGAAAGACATCTAGCAACTTCAATCTAAATGACACAAAAAGTATGGTTTTATTAATATTTTAGGAGATTAAAATTTTCTTCACTTGATAATTATTCGGTTGCTCTTGGAAATATTCACGTTGCAGCATTTCTGCATCATAATCATAGTTGACTAATGCTAATTTTAAATCTCGTTCCATTTCAAGTGGTTTTATTCCATATGTTTGAACGTGAATTTCGATTGTTTCTTGTATCGTTGATGTAAATCTGATAAAAGTACTTTGTTTTTCATCAAGCTCTTTTTCATAGTATTCAATTTGTCGTTTCATTTTTTGCAAATGTTCATTAAGTAGATTTTCACAAGGAATCTGTTGATCTTCTGTATCGATTTCCATCCGTGTTGCTGTTTTACTAGTAGTATCTGTATCATTCATGGTTAATTTATGTTGTGTTAACATCAATGATTGAACTTGCATGGGTCAAAAACGTCGATCAACTTCAATAAAATGGCATTCTGCTGCTCTCAATGTACCCTTCACTGAATGTAAATATGCTTTCATGATTTCTCTATCTATTTGAACAGTAGCTATTTAATGCATTAAAAGAACCATTTGTTGGATATCATTCATAGTAATATATCTAACTGTTTTTATGATGGTTTGAGCCATATGAACAAATAATTTATTCTGTATCAATAGATATGTCGGTATTTGGCATTGTTCAGTTGTGGAAATATCAGTATCATTATTATTATTATTACTAATACAATGTTACCACAAGAAGCATTGAATACTCTTATGACATTTCTACATGCTCATGGTTATAGAAAAGTGAAGGGAATTAGTATTGATACAATAAAAAAAGTGGCTTCAATTATTCTCAAAGATAATGTTTTTGGTTATGGTAACAAAATTTATAAGCAAATAACTGGTGGTGCTATGGGTTCATCATTTACATTAACATTAGCTAATATTTTCATGTCGGAATGGCAAAAAAAATTGTTGAAGAACAAACAAAGACAGGCGAATTATACGGCCGGTAAATGACCAAAAATTTTAAATTTAAAAATAATGACTATTATCTAATTTTTTTTCTTTATAGATACATTGATGATATTTTTATGACTTGGAATAGATCTGAAGAAAAATTAAGAAAATTATTAGATGATGTAAATACATGGCCTCCAAATATTAAATTAGACTATAAAATTGGTAATAGTCTTCCATTTCTTGATGTACAAGTCACAAATAATGACGGAATCCTATCAAAATCTGTCTATCATAAGACTGCAGCTGAACCATATGTTACACCATTTACATATGATCATCCTCGACATGTTTTTTCAAATATTATCAAAACTTCTATTGAACGTGCAACAAGATATTCATCGACATTCGAAGCCTTTAATTATGAACGACGTTCCATTAAATTGATGTTACTATACAATGAGTAAGTCTTTATTTCATATTTCATTAAAAAAATTATTGTATTTCAATCGTACATTATTTAGTTATCCATCAATATTTATTGAAAATGAGTTTCACAAATATTTTTCTGAATATATATCAAAATCACCATTTCTACCATTAATTGACGACGAACGGAAATATTTTCTTATGCGAAAACAAATCTTAGGCCAACCAACACCTCGGCAATCACAAGTGGCCATGAGTGCAGCACTGGCTGGCATTGACAACGATTCACCAGATGATGATGAGAGACAACAACCAGACCCATACAAAAACAAATCTGAAGAAAAAATCTCGAACTATAATGAAAAATTCTATACTCATTTTACACATGAAAAACGTTTCGAAACATGCAAACGAGATATGCATCAAGTATACAATCATGCATTTAAAGATACATCAGCAATGTACACAAAACAAATCGTCGGCAACTGCAACCGTCGTCAAGCACACAATGAACTAATACGCAAACGACCAAACAAAAACATTGTTACAAAACACAACAATCACCAAAAGTAAGTCCAACAGCAGAAACAAAAAATGCTTTCTATAACTCCTTTATATAAAAAATTTAAAACACTTCCTTTACTCCTATTTATTAGAAAAACTCGAAAACAAGAACACGGTCCTACATCCAACTACAACTATCACCTAGCCTCCATCGACCCAATACAATTGGCAAGCAAGTTTCTCTACTCAAGACGATCTATCCATAAAACAATAAACGCAAATGCACAAACATTTTGAAAAAAAAATCCATATATGATTTATTCATACACCCTTTAAAATAAAATAAAATACATGCAACTGATTCGAAATTTCATCAAATCAATTTTCAAATGAAGTTCTAAATTTCTTCTCTTTTCAGATACATCTCTACGTATAACTTGCAAAAACAAAACAATAATTGTCATCGAAACATGGAAAATGAAATCTATAGATAACGGCTACTATTCACACTACTGTAAATGGATAATATCATTATATATAGACTTGTTTATATATAACAGTATAGTTTAATCTTTTTATTTTTATTTTGAATTAAAATCATTAGAATTATTTACCAACTGAAGAGTCCTTTAGCAGGGACGAAACGCGTCTTGGCAGCTATTACACACCCACACCCACACCCTCAATCTTTATTTGTTTTTATAATTTTATTTGGAATTGATCAATTGATCGATTGCTGAACAAGCAAAAGCTGAGATCTAGCAGATTGTTTTGCTATTTGTTCATCGTCAAATAGGATTCAATGTTTTTCATAATAACGATGATCAAAAATACCTCTGTCCACAGCCTTGTGCATCGGCATGAGAGCTGGTTGGTACTCAATAACCGGATACTTCTCAACATGATTAAACAATTTCTTGCCAGCATATGCTATCACAGCTACTGCAACCGCGCCTGCCGCTATTGTCTTTACAGTTTCCTTTACACCATCCATGTTTCTAATATCCAATGGTTCTAGATAAAAATATTTTTACCATGTATATTTATGAGACAGATATTAAGAATTCGATGGAAGACCCTCAACTTTTCTTTGAAAATAAATATTGTATACCCAGGAGATTTAATCCGACCTGTCGATCCGATCGGAAACAACCCGATCCGACATAGGATCACCCCGGGATCCGACAAATTACATTAAAAAGTCGCCGAGATCCGTTACGAATTTCAAAGAAAAACCAGTGATCGGATTCCGATCACTATTATGCCTGAAAGAATCCGACCGTAGCGGCGTTACTGGGGGGGGGGGGATGAGTGGGCGGCGCCCCCTCACCCGAAGTCTCTGCCCACCCACCGTCGAAAGAAATATAAATCAGATACTGCGATAATACAAGATTTCCATTGTTCAAGGATATTATATAGGGTTCAAAATTGAAATCTTTTCAATTAGTGACGCCTAAAGTATGAATTTCCGATTAATATTCTAGATAACCGAATAGCAATCGTCATTTATAAACCTTTTCTGACACCCTCTCTCAACTTCAGTAAAGTTCATTAGAAAATCCACATAAAACTGAAAAATAGATATTGTTATACGATGAGCAAAATTTGTGCATCTGAATATAAAGATCTGAAGCGTTGCCCTATTGAGTACTTTTTCAGCTCTAAGTCAACAAAGAAAACGTCTAAAATGTCTCGAAACTTGCTGACTACTAAAGGAGACATCATTGTTGATTTTGAAAGCATTATCGGGAAATTCTCATACCAACATAAGAACAGTTGAACATTATTGAAGTTAGACGCTAGCTTTTCTGTTATATTTATCTTTCTACTTTGTATACTTATACATTTATTTAATAAAAGAATATGCAAATTACTTTGTTTCACTCTTTCTGACCTAGAAAACGCGAAAAACGCTGCTCCCATTGAGTAAAAGTTGTTGGTTTTTCAAAAATATTTCCAACTACTGTAAAGTCATATTAATATTTCCTCAATAACAGATTCCTTGTTTTCAGGTTTTCTATTACGAGTGGTCCTCTGTTACATTTAAGTATTGATTTAGAATCTAATATTGTTAAATTAATAAACTTAATTAGCATATAGGTAAATTAGTTCATCATGTTCATATTTCATATTCATATTCATGTCTTAAAATAGAAAAACAAACAAATCATTATTTTATTATGCCTCTTATCCTTCCTGTCCTTGTCCTTCTTCTCCAATCAACAGGATTCGATAAAAGCCAAACAAAAATAAAATAAAATTCCAAAATTCATTTTCAAGACTCGGGTCTTCTTTTGGAAACCTCTAGAGGCAGCGCAAGCCGGGGTCGAAGTGAATATCGCCTGTTTTGGAAAAGACGAGAAAAAAGGTACTGTTTTAACAAAAATCGCGAAAACTGACGTCAATTTTTCAAAAAGATCGTAAAAAATTCAAAGCAAACTTTTGTCGACAAAAAACCCAATAAAAGATTCTCCAGTTTCAAAAATACTTTGGCGGTATCAGCTTAGAACCACTTGTCACGCTTTTCTCGTTTGTGAAAAAATACGTCATTCCTGTTTTGATTTTGACATGCTGCTCGTGTCCTGGAAGGAGGTTTTCAGTTTTTTTGATAGGATGGAGGGGGGGCTGCTTTATTATGGGGATGGGAGTTATTAGACAGTGGGCCACCGCCCACTCGCCCGCGATTTTCTGGTTACGCCGCTACCTCATATATTTTCTTCCACGAAATGAATGGTATTGTATAGGGGTGACACTTTAACTTTAACTGTTAAAGTAAAGTTAAAGTGCCACTTTAAGTTTTAACTATTAAAGCTTTAACTTTTATTAAAGTGGAGGAGGAACAAATATCTTGGCACAGCAGTGCATAATCATTTTTTATTTACTCATAATAAGCGATACCGTTTAACTTTAAAACACTTTAATTTTGACTTTGATTTTTGAAATGTTAAAGTAGATTTAATTCAAGAAATAGACAGTAACAACTTCGGCCGACTCTTTCTATGATAATGAGAACATCTCTGGTATTCTGACAAAAACAAACTAATACAGCTTTTCAAAATTTTTACTGTCTATTTCTTGAATTAAATCTACTTTAACATTTCAAAAATCAAAGTCAAAGTTAAAGTGTTTTAAAGTTAAACGGTATCGCTTATTATAAGTAAATTAAAAATGATTGCGCACTATCGCGTCAAGATATTTGTTTCTCCTCCACAATAATTAAAGTTAAAGTGCCACCCCTAGTATTGTATTTAATACACTCTTTTATTTTGAAAGATTTGAGAGCCAAGGGAAGTGTGCGATTCATCTTTTCTGATATCAGGTTTCACAAAATTCTCTCAAGTCTCATCCTTTCTACGAAAATCAAGTGCAAGAAAAAACATGCAACTTTCTCGCAATTTCATTTTATTGATCCTTAGTTCAAAACTATCATAATGCTCCATCCAGGTCGACCAACCAGCAAGCAGAAAATATAGGATCCTTTAGTATATCGGAGACAAAACTGACCGATAAAACAGAGGGCCAAACAAGCTTAATTCTTGTAGGCCTGGCCTATTAATTCTCGTTGAGTAGCATTCTGATAGATAGAGTGTATTACTAAGATAATATTTCTAAATGTGGAGATCTATCATTTAGAATCATCTTCAGTGATTAAAAAAAGGAAGACTCATCAATGTAAACGAAGTCACAATCTTTCAAATAATACGATTTCCAACATAATATTTTTCAATTACAGCTAAAATAGTTAAGAGAGGGTGAACATGAATCCAACCCAAATCGGTTTTATAAAACATAGCAAACTGAATTCTGCTCAAATACATAAAAGTTGGTTCGTTTTGGTCTCTGAGTTGTCAGAATGACTTAACATTTGAGGAGTACCACATCTTTTTGCTAAAAATACTTGCCGATTTAAGCTCTATGAAGAACGAAGCTGATAAAGGCCGAAATTATACAACCAAGAATGTAAGTTTCAATGATTATCAGAGGTTTAAAATTCTGGTTCTTGAGTGAACTTATATACTCATATAGAAAGGCAATTTCTTTAGTAATTCCAGAAGACAAATAAAATAATATACTAACAAAATATTGCTTCAAGACATGAGTCAATCCGTATCAATCTTATATGCTATCCAAACAACCTATCAAATGTTTGAAAATGAAGAATAAATATTTTTTAAAGGAGTAGACAAATATCTGAAAATGGAGTGTAAATATTTTTTAATGCAACAGACAGTGAATAGTTTTCGAAACTTGCATGGCTACTAAAATACTACAGATCTGAATATTTTTAATATTTTATACGTCTAGCTGAATTTTCTTTAGCTATTCACTATTAAATGTTGTCAAAAAACTGATGAAAATTTATCACAACATATTACAGTCGTCATCCTACTCTCACGTTGGTTATTTGAGACACGTATACATAAATGTCTTCGTGAATAAGTTAAATGAAATTGATTTCTATTTCAATATTAGAGACTATAGTTGCTGTTGATTTGTTCTTATTGATATGTTTAGCGTATTTCTTTCAAAGTGACTGTTTCTCTTGAATACTTCAAACGTCAATAGATGACGAGGTATCGACAATTTTTCAATAGACCAAACACATCTTTTGGATAGAGCGATTTTAAAGAGCTCAAAAGGGAACAGACAAATATGCTTATATATAAAATTTCGAGGGCTCATCTCGGCCATCTAATGATTCTTATTGTCTGGTTGGGTACAGTGAAGAATTTTTATTTCTTAATCTTTATGTTAACGGGAAAATAGACGATAAGAAAAGGTTTCCACGAAAATCAAAGTACTCAATTTTACATGAAGGTAGCTAAAAACTAAGATATCACAAAACAACACTGAAAAAAATAAAGGTGATGTACGGAACCTTTAAGGTTTGGTGGTACCTTATTAAACCCTTAGAGTTATGGTATGGACCTGCGAAACCTTTTGTAGGTTTAGTATTAGAAAAACTTCAGTGTGATCGTTTTATAAGGTTCTGAAGTGACAGAGGTTTCGTACCATGCTTTTGTGAAAGCCAAAGTTGAGTCAAGTTTCGTATGAAACCCTTGCACGTT